GCGTTGTACTTGGTGTAGTACCTGCAGGCCCCCTAGGGTTTAGGGTTTAGGGTTTAGGGTTTAGGGCTCGTAGGGTATAGGGTTTAAGGTTTAAGCGGGGGGGGGGGGGGGGAGGTTATGGTGAGCAGTACTTAGACCCGAAACCGAAACCCAAAACCCTCGGAGCAAACAGCAACCGCTGTCGCCCGTGACTTGCATGCACTACCAAAACAACTACGACAACGCTAGAGCCGAACCCTAAACCCTAAACCCTAAAACCCTAAACAATGGCCTCAAAATCATGACAGCATGGTGCAGCATGGTCAATACTGGTACTGATCTGTATATGGGTCTAGCCCTGATGATTCTGGTGCTGCCTTTGGTCCTGAAATTGCTGTTCTAGTCTTGCCAGCTTTGAAGACTTCAAGCAGGCCGGCCAAGAATACGTGCCTAAGCGTGGGATAGTGGACAAGGCTCAAACCCAAACCCTAAACCCTAAACCCTAAACCCTAAACCCTAAACCCTAAACCCTAAACCCTAAACCCTAAACCCTAAACCCTAAACCAAAATCAACAATGGTGGCCCCCTGACGTCTTCAAGGGTTGTGTGAACTGTGCCTCATCTCTCGCTTTGTCTCCGGCCCCATCCAGTAGCGAATCTTCTTGACACCAGGGATGTCCTGCACTGACCCTAAACCCTAAACCCTAAACCCTAAACCCTTAACCCTAAACCCTAAACCCTAAACCCTAAACCCTGAACCCATTAAGGGAAAAAGCAAAATATCCCCAGGGCCTACCTAGTGGGTTGTCACTCGAGCTGGGTGTGCAAATCCAGCCAGGGGCTTCTTTATCATTTCGTTATCTGATTTTGTAATTGCGTCGCCTAGCATGCAGCAATCTGTTGCTGACTGCCACCCTTCGTGGTCTACCGAATCCCATAAAACAAAACCCAACATTTCCAAAAGCCTGAACCCTAAAAAATCCCCGAGCCCTTTGCTCCTCTTTCTTGAGGGAGTTGAGGATTTTGGCCCAACGCCTCGGCAAAAAGCTGACGCAGGGAACTTTCCGGGATTGGTCGTTGGCCCAATCGGCTTCGCACACGCGCACAAACCCCTGAGTGAGTAAGGAGTCGACCATGTGGTGGGGCTGCTTGGGTCCAGAAAAGGGGGATGCCATCCCAACTGCACACACGCGCGGGCAATGGAAAAGCAGAAGTAAAAGGAGCATAAACCTGCTGCGCTTGCCTCAACGGTGTGGCGCACAGAGATTAGCCACTCCCAAGGGAAACTGAGAAAAAAAGGGAATCCTCAACCCTAACCCCTAATCCCTAAACCCCATAATCCCTAAGCCCTATAACCCTAAACCCAATAAGCCAGGACCTGCCCAGCACCTGAGGCGTGAGCATAGCGCGAAGTGCCGGGTTTCCGGTGGCAAAGACCACGTCCACGCGCAACTCCTTGCAGCTGTGAGGGCCCATCAGGATGTCGGACTGTAGGATGCCAAAGGGCTTATAGGGTTTAGGGTTGAAAGGGTTTAGGGATTAGGGTTTAGGGTCTAGGGATTAGGGCCCAGAATTCAAAGTCGACCGCGGCTGAGGTCCTCGAAGTTCTCGAGGTGAGTTGAAAGAAGCCTCAGTGAAATCGCTTTCAGAAGTACTCTGAAGACCAAGCCTTTATGTGTTTTCTCTCTGCAGAATGAAGGGGGGAGTGGGGGGAGGGGGTGGCTGGGGAGGGGGGTGGTTGGGGGGGGCGGGAGGGGTTGGGGGTGTGTGGGGGTTGGGTTGGGCCTAATGCTATGGCTGAGCCAGCAAGCTACGAGGGCAGGCTGTTTGGATGAGAACCCCACCCCCCCCCATTACTAAAAACCCTGTGGGTCTTTGACGGGGGGGGGGAGTGGTGGCCTTTCATATTAGGGAAGGGGTTAAAAACCCCTAAACCTCCCCCAATGAGCTCTCAAAATGATCCGGGTTGCCAGAGCGCGGCTTCGTTGTCCGCTTCGTCTCCGGCATCTGTGATGAAAAGCGCACCTCCAAGCTGGCTCCAAGCTCGAGCGGGAGGAGGCGGTCACTTCTTCTGGGGCCTTTATGGGGGGTTTACGAACAGAAGGGGCCCCTTTAGAAAGACCCCCCAATAGAAGGATTCCCTTGCAATAAGGACCCAATAAGGTATCCCTAATTTCGGAAAGCCCATATGTTTTTTTTGCCCAACCGAAGGTTGTTAGATTTTAAACTCAACTCTTCTCAGCCCGGTCTACTCCTAGAGACTCCCTGGAGTGCCCAACCCCAGAGACTCCCAGGAGTGCTTTCAAGGCTTGGCATTAAGGGATTATGTGTTTACGGAAAAGGGGCGTTCGCCCGGTGAGTTTGCAGTGCAAGCAAGTGACGTACTTCAGTGCTCAGGGTCGCGGCGCGGGTGATCTTCTCCTGAGGCAGATATGAGCGGATCGGATGAGCAAGATGGGGGGAACGTGGTCACAATGGACAATGGTCCCTTTGCGTGGGCCCTTTGCGTACCGATCCTACACCCCTTATATAACCAAAACAAATTAAGGGCCCATACATCAGAAGCCTTTAAAGGAGTTTAGGGACCATACTATTGGCCCAACTACCCTCAGAGAACCCGCGCAACCTCGACCCTAAATGCAGTTGCCTCTTTCTCGGCGAAGAAAACATTCGCCTTGGTGGTGCATCAGCTCCCGCGGATACCCCAAAACCTAAACCCTAAACCCTAAACCCTAAATCCTAAACCCTAAACCCTAAACCCTAAACCCTAAACCCTAAACCATAAACCCTAAACCTTAAACCCTAAACCCTAAACCCCAAACCAACCATTCATTTGCCATGGGAATGCTTTCACATCAGCTTCCTCAACTTTAGCCGGGTTGCCAGAGCCTCCTCTCCTGGCTGGCGCAGCACGCCACAGGAATCATGGTAGAATGGTAGAGACATGCCATGAGATAGCCCTAAACCCTAAACCCTAAACCCTAAACCCTAAACCCTAAAAACAAAGCAAACCAGGAGCCGCAGGACAGTTCACCTTCACTGTGACTGAGGATGCGCGGCTCTTGTAATTATGATGTAGGGTTTACATTTCTTGTATGCCCAAAAGGACACCCAACGTATACACTCATCAATTACAGTAATATGAACCCAGTTTCATATGATCTTCAGGTGGGACCCAAATTGCGCAAAACGCAAACCGCAGGATCCATGACAGCTTGCATGCTCATGCATGCTCTGGATCCCTGCCTGTAATTTGGCTGATGATGTGATTAGGGTTTAGGGTTTAGGGTTTAGGGTTTAGGGTTTAGGATGTACAAGTGCTATACACATGTTGTTCCCGATCTTTGTCCAGGCCTTGTCCGGAATAGGCCATCTTCATCGCCGCCGTGCGGGCCTGGCACCCTAAACCCTAAACCCTAAACCCTCAACCACGGGCCTGTATTCCGACACGCTCATTCAGGTTAGGTAGGGGTTTAGGGTATACTGTCAGGGTGTAGGGTTAAGAGGTTAGATCCTTTAGGTTTTTGTACTTGAGCTTCTCTCAGTATAAGAAAGCACTATGGCAAGCTAAACAAACACCTCACGAGGCCCCCATATGCATCGCTAGCTTCAGGCATTTGGGAGAGCTTGTATCTTAAAAAGTAAGTATAATATGCCTAACAACTAAGGCACGTGTCTCTTTCTGCGTGATTAAACCCTACATCCCAGACCTTCCACTCAGCCGTCGGAAGTTGCAGCGGTCCAGTACTCACTTGCTCCCACAATGAACCTTATTAATAAGCCTCATATAGGCCCGAAGAATTCCTCAACATCCCTTAATTCCCGTTTTCAACCCTGTAAGCCCTAAACCCGTATTCTGATTGCGGGTCCTTTTGCGGGGTCCACCCCAGCACATACCCTTGACCTGAAACTAGAAACAAAAGACCCCAAATAAACACCCCTCCCAGCTTTTCGGGGTAGGGTTTAGGCTTCAGGTCCCAGGGTACATGCGCATACCACCTCCACCCAGAAAGCACCGCATGTTCCATCATAGCAGACGAGACCCTCAACCCTACACGCATCCAAACCCCTCGGCTGCAAAGCAGGCACAGCTCCCAATCCCAGCCTTTGAACTCTTAGTTTAGGCCCCAAAAAAGCTGAAGCTATGATTTTAGAAGGGGTGGGCATATACAATCCCAACCTAGAAAGGCGACCTGTCTAGGATATGCGGTTTAGGGGCTTTGCTTTTCGGCTTCGCATTGCAGGGCGCAGAGGGCTGATTGAGGGTGTTAGAACTTTTGCGGTTTTGGGTTTAGAGTCTAGGGTTTAGGACTTTCGGGGCGCAGGCCCTTGCTTTGTTGAAAAGACTTTGCACACGTGACCCCCAGTCCTCAGGAGAGATCAGGGACTCCGTGTGAGCGAGCTTCATGGCTAGGCGCGACGCCTTCAAGGGAGAGGATGCTTTGGGCTTCCCTAAACCCTGAACCCGGAATACCCTCTAACTGAACTGTAAGTAACCCTTTGCTGTCTCCTCGAGCTCTGGAACCTGATACGGACTCGAGGATTCTCAGCGTCATCGCTCCCAAGTCAGTCACGCCGGGCGAGGCTTCACAGTGAGAATTTCTGCTTCTTTGCTCCTGTCCTGCGTCGTCGCATTATCGTGTATGTCGAAAAGGTAGGCCTGGCACTATGACACGGACGAGCTGTACAGCAGTCCCTTTTGGAGGTCCAGACTCACGCTTGCAACCTGAACCTCCCGCCATCTCTACACTTGCCAGCCTGAGGTGCAGCGTAGCGCAGTGGCCCGCCCTGTACTGTCATTACAATAGAAGATCGAATTTTGGCCAGGGAAGTCCCTAGACTTCCGGAGCCGATGCCGAAGCCCAGGAGCACAACACAGCAACAGGGTTTAACCTTAAGGACATGCAGCAAGTATAGTATGACGTCCGCTATTATAATGAATCGTGTTACATGCAATGGGCTTGGAATCCGCAGTGCACAGTGCCCAGCAGGCTGTACAAGCCACTAACTCGCCAATCGCATTAGCAGCCTCCCAATGCTGCCCGCCCTTCCTGGGCCTCCTGGGCCATGGCCACCAGACGCTCGGCCAGGCGAGGGGCGCCGCCCGCGAGTTCTGCGCGGGCGCACTGCACCGCCTGACGATAAGTGCTGCCCTCATTGCAGATCTCTCTCAACGCCTTGGCCAAGGCATCGCTGGTCACTGTGTCCATTGGCTTGAAGAAGGCTTGACCCCACCCGCGCTCTTGCACCTTGCGGGCATTCGCTGGCTGATCCACGGCTTGGGGTATCGCCACAAGGGGTACGCCGGCCATCAGGCTTTCCTGGAGGCTGTTGAAGCCGACGTGAGAGATGAATACCGAAGCATAGTTGTTCAGCATCTCTACCTGCGGCACGAAGCCGCGGATCAGCACGTTGGAAGGTAGCTGATCGAAGATCTCCGCCTCGCTGCTGCCCAGGAAGTCGAGTGCATCGGGCTGCTTGCCCACGGAGAGAACGCAGAAGTACTCGTCTCCCAGGTCCCTCAATGTGTCCAGGAGAACCTGCCACACGTGCTGGCAGAAGGCCTTGCCGGTGGTCCCGATAGGGAGGTTGTAGCTGCTGACACGTCCGAGGTCGATGCTCCAGCGATCTGAGAGCGCCATTGTGCCAAGGGCGGCGTAGATGATCTTCCGGCCCTTGGCCAGCTGCTCGGAGAGTTCCGGCACCGGTAAGGAGTGGCCAAAGCTCTTGACACGCGGGATGAAGCTGTCCGACCGGGCCGTGATCACATGCGGCGCGCTGTTGCTGACCAGGCAACCAACTGCGGTGAAGCTGAACTTGGTGCGCAGTTCGTCCGCCCACTGATGCTGTCCCGGCGGAGGCAGCTGGGCGACGAGGTCTTCGCACGTAGTGACGAAGTTTGTCTTCGCGTAGTACTGCCGCCTGGTCAGGAAGTGGCAAGCCAGGTCAACGTCAAACCTGTCTTGGATGGCCTTAGCGTAGGGCTCGCGGATGCTGGCAGCATAGGCGAGCCGGCCCTCTGCCTCCATGGTGCACATCAGGTCGGAGAGACTTCCCATGCCAGGATAGGTGACCAAGGATGCACATGGAATCCCGAGCTTGCCGGCAGTGACGAGCCCAAGGGGCACGAAGGGATCGTAGAGGATCACGCTGACGCCCAGCTGGCGGCAGCGGGCTACCGCATGCTCGCCGCAGCGGAGGACTGTGGCCAGGGGCCAAACAGTTTTCTCCCACAAGGCGCGATCCGCCTCCAGGATCTCCTGCACGGGATGGTACATCGGCTCGTCAATGCCACATTTCTCCATGACAAAGTCCGCCGGATCATCTGGGAGGTAGCCTTCTGGGACTGCCCCAGACTCAACGGCGGCAGCACGGATGGATGACACTGGAGGCAGGAAGTAGTGCACCTTGCAGCCGCGTTTCCGGAGCTCCTGGACCAATGCGAAGGTCGGATTCACGTGCCCGATCATCGCCACATTGAAGATGGCCACCACAGGCCCCTCCTCAGTGATGAGCTGGCTTGTCGGCTGGTTCACGGGCGCCATGGCGGAGGGCGATCCGAAACAAGCAAGGAGCAGAGGTATACAGCCTGGGCTTTTGTAAGAGAAGAGCTTCTTGAGCCGCAGTTTGTTGCAGAGCTTATAAGGCTTGAGGGTGAGTGTAGGCGCTTGGGCATTGGGGACTTGGGGCTTGGGGCTCAGGCCGAGCGATTCTCTACAGACCCGCCCAACTTCCACATTCCCCATGCCAAGCCTCAGAAAGGTTGAGGAGTTTTGGGCTTTGGGGGGTTAGAGCTGGGCCCCTCCCACCCCCAAACCTGAAGCTTTCTCGTTCCTAGCAGGGAAGCAGGGAGGGGGTACCTACATCCCAAAGTCCTGGCGAAGAGCCAGGCAGGAAGTGGTGGGGGGGGGGGGGGATTTTGTAGCTTGGATGAGAAGGCAGCGTAGAGGATCATGGAGGCCACGCTGCTGTGTGCGATGATGTCTTGATTTGTAAGTTAGGGTTTAGGATTTAGGGTTTAGGGTTTAGGGTTTAGGGTTTAGGGTTTACAGCGGAAGGATTGGAGTAGTTCGGGCAAAGGAAGAGGGGTCTGAAATGGGTGTTGGTTGGTGGGGCCTTTGGGTGTTGGTTGGTGGGGCCTTCCGTGTACAGCTGGCTCCGAACTCTTGGAGCCCTAAAGTTCAGATCCGATATGACCCTTACTTGGAGGTTCATGGTACCTATTAACCAATTCTGACTGTACTTATAACCCACTTGTAAGCCCCTAGAAAGCTCCAAAACAGAACTGAGAGGCCCAGAGACTCCAAAACCCCTTAATTAAGCAATATACCTTAAATTATAGTAGGAACCCTAATTATGATTTAAGGTATACTCCTTAACTAAGGGGTTTTGGAGTCTCTGGGGGGGCGCCTGTTCCTCATCCGCGCTCATCAAGACCAATCCCACGAGCATGCCGGCCGGGTCGTACATCGGATTCCCGACCACCTCATAGGCGTCCAGGTTGCGAGTAATTCGAGGGCTTCTCGGCTGAGGGTTTAGGGTTTAGGGTTTGGGGTTTAGGGTTTAGGGTTTAGGGCTCAGGGCATGTGCATGCTTGTGGAATTGGAGTTGGGGGATGGGTGTCCAGGGTGCCAGGGAGCACGGACGGTGTCGTACCTTTTGTGGGTTCACCCCCAACCACCCCGCCACCGGTCCGCACCAAGGCCAGAACCATGTTTAGGGTTTGGGGTTTAGGGTTTAGGGTTTGGGGTGTTCGGGTTTCGGTTTCAGGGCTTTAGGTGTTTCAGGGTGTGATTCCGAGTGTGGTCAGTGGACATATGCTGCCGACACTGGCATGTGGTGAAGTAGAACATGTCAGGTGTTGTCAACTTAGTTGCTGAGTTCAAAAGCCCCCAAAAAGTGTACACTTTCAGTTCTATAGGGGATGGTAGTACCCCAAAATACCCCAAAAAGTGTAAAGTGTACTCACTCAGCTTCTAAGTCAACTGCCAGGGTCTCAGGGAAGGATGGGTACTATGACCACTGCTTCTTCGAGTCGCCCCCCCCACGCCCGAAAGTCGTCCCAGTTGGACTGCTTGAAGGTTCATGGTACTTACTAACCAATTATAACTGGGCTTATAACCCTACTTATAATTGGGATAACCCCTATAAGGCCCTTTAGGGGCATTATAAGTAGGGTTGTAAGTACAGTTATAATTGGTTAGTAAGTACCATGAACCTTCAAGTGGTTCAACCATCACTCGAACATTGAAACCCAAGCTCCATGAGTCCCTTTTGGGGGCCCTAAACCCTAAACCCTAAACCCTAAACCCCAAACCCCAAACCCTAAACCCTAAACCCTAAACCCTTGCGGCTGGGGGGAATACATGACCTACTTCCGGCCTCTTTCTGGATTGCAGAGATATCGCCGTGCAGCTCGGGGAAGTTTCGGAAGTCCATGGCCGAGGTGTCCTGGCGGACCCTAAACCCTAAACCCTAAACCCTAAACCAGAAACCCCACCAAAAGTGAACAAAAGAAAATCTTAGTTGTCCAGTAACCTGGGGGAATTAAAGGTTCACCTTTGGGATTATAAGGGGATTCTACTACCCCCAAAAAGGGTAACGGTTACCTACTCTACTACTAGGAAATAGACCCCTATAAAGTACGGGAACTAATTGCAATGTAATCAATCATCATCAATCATAATGCTACCTAGTGAATAGTACCGAAATGTACCGAACATAAAGGAGTAAAATCAAAAAACTAATTACCTAGGGACCTTGGGTTTGGGCTCTAGAGCTGAGGGTTTAGGCTCTTGTACCGTCGTACCGCTAACACCCCCCCCAACGCCCAAACCCAAATGCCACAGAACTTTCACCGTTCATGAGGTGTTGCTTGTTTCTTTGTGGCCGGCTGCGCTGCAAGCGTCCTTCGTCCCAAGGAGATACGGCTCCAACTGTGCAATGTCAGGGTCGCGCCCACTGACGTACCTTCGAGTCGGCTGAGCCGTTGCTTTCCGCACGCTCGTGGGCAGGAAATGTAGAGCGCATATGAGAACACCCTACTTTGCAGGAAGAGTGCCTGTTGCATGCCAGCCCTGACTGTCAACTCTCGTTGGCAACCCCATCAAAAGCAAGAAAGCCAGTTGCCGCGCCTGTTGAATGCATAGATCTTCAGGAGCTTGCTGGTCATGTGGGTTATCGCGTACCCCAGGATGTCATCCACGGTCTGCTTGGAGAAGGTCGTCTCCGTGATGTCGGTGCTTGCCAAGATGTCTCTGACACAAACACGGGAGCAAATCGACTCCCAGGACATCTTCATACCTTTCACCTGCACACATGATAGCTCTGTTGGGTACCAAGGGGTCGTGCTGGGGCTGAGTGATGGACTGAGAGATTAAGGGAGAGAGGGCGAGGGAGAGAGAGAGAGGGAGAGACACGGAGAGGGAGAGAGAGAGAGAGAGAGAGAGAGCGAGAGAGCGACAGAGAGAGAGAGAGAGAGACAGAGAGAGAGAGAGAGAGAGAGAGAGAAAGAGAGAGAGAGAGAGAGAGAAAGAAAGAAAGAAAGAGAGAGAGAGAGAGAGAGAGAGCGAGGGAGGGGAGGGGAGGGGAGGGGAGGGAGAGATTGAGCGGGAGAGAATGAGAGGGAGTGGGAGTGGGAGCAGGAGTAGGGAGCGTGCTTAACGCGAGCTGGACGGAGGCAGCAGCAAGTGCCCAACGCTGCTTGACAGAGATCAGCCAAGCCTTCTCACTGACGGCGCCGTTGCCAAAGCCTTTGCTACCCAGGTTCCTAGAGGAAGTAGCATGTAAGATGTTGCAGGGTTTAATCTTTGGAAGTATACAGGGAACGTGTGCCCAAAGAAGCAAAAGCTTGCTTGCTCGACTGCTGGGAAGCAGTCTTTAGACTTGTTGTCTGACTCGCGTGAAATCTTGACGTAGGTCTCCCGGATGTTCTGGAGCACTTTCTTCTCCACAGACATAAACCACTTCGTTGCACGAACCTTGGATCCCGGGTCGCTGGAGGCTTTCATGATAGGTTTGATGAGTTTTCAGGGTTCAGGCTTAGCTCAGGGTTTAGGATGGGGATTTGGGATTTATTTGGGGCTAAAGCCCTGACATGCGATGGTGTGCACTGAGTGCACAATGCAAATACCTCGATCACGATCGCTCAGTAATCGTTCACCCCAAGCCCTCTGAAACACACACCAGAAACCAAGGATTTTTTGGGTTTAGGCGGTTTAGGGTTTAGGGTTTCGGCTAGATCATCACCCGACATGGCCCCAAAAACCTGAACCCTGAAACTTGTGAAGTCCTAAGCCACCCCATGAAAATTCTACAGCTGTCAGCCCCTGAGAGCCCAAAGGCATCTCTAAGCCGGGAGGCATAGTCCGGCGTTCCTCGTAGATCCTCCTCAAAGGCTGCAAAGGCACGATCCACAACCTCGTAGTTCACGAGGGTGTTCACGCGAAAGCGGACAAAGAGGTTTGCCTTCAGCCCACTCCAGGCATGGCTTAGGATTTGGGGTTTGGGGTTTAGGGTTCCTAAAACTTGAGGGTTCAAGGTGTGGGGCAGGGGTAGCCAAGAAGATTCGTACGGCCTGGATTACGTGCGCGGACTCTCTGCTTACTACTCAAACCCCCTACTATACTCCCCTTAGAACCTAAACAAAAAAGCGTCTTTTAATACCCTCTTGGGTCTTATATAAACAAAAATGAAAAAACTCCCCAGGGGGATATAGCCGCCCACCTGCGAAGTTCCATGGAGCCTCTTGTGTTCTTGGCAGCTGTCAGCGTGAAAGCTCCGATCTGGAGCCCGGAATCTCGAAGGCACAGGAGCCCCGAAACATCCTAAAGCCCCAAACCCTAAACCCTAAACCCTAAACCCTAAACCCTAAACCCCTAAAGCCCTAAACCCTAAACCCTAAACCCTAAACCCTAAACCCTAAACCCTAAACCCACCTCCCCCCCCCCCCCCAATGAAGGACGAGCTGCGACCATGGGTGGTATTCGGCCAACGGCCTGCCGAAGCTGTCTTGTACACATTGGGGTTTAGGGTTTAGGGGTTAGGGTTTAGGGTTCAGGGTTTAGTTTAGGGTTTAGGGGTTTAGGGGTTTAGGGGTTTATATTTCTTGTACCCCCAAAGGACACCCAATATATATATATATATATACACTCATCATTATTAAACAGGAACCCTATATACACTCACCAAAAATAGAAATATATAACCCTGTTTCATATGAGGCTTCAAAGTCCTTGAAAGGGCATACTTTGGGTTTCCGGCTGTGCAGGGTTTGGCCGCCCTTGCGCGCTGCACTGGCGCAATCGTGAAAGTCTGGATGGCCATCGGCCTATCTAATCTCTACCCGCCGAAGCCCAAAACATCGCAAAATTCTACAAGAGCAACAATAACAATGCTGATCAGGAACCTGTGAAGTGTGGAAGCCTTCCCACCACCCTACACCCACAAACGCTCACGAAGTCTGTCTTCTAGGCCACATGGACCTGATCAAACATCACCAAAGCCTCGAACAACCCTAAACCCCAAACCCGAAACCCTACACCCTAAACAAGGAGGGCCGGTTCCATTGGCCTTGTTCCACTCGTCATCCAGGACGAGCTCCGTCAGCTTCGGAGGAAAGGTCTCGAACATTGCTTTCTCCTGAGCTCTCCAAGTTCTGTGGCTTAGGGTTTAGGCCTTAGGGTTTAGGCCCTTTTGGGGGTACCCTAAATGAAACATCAGGCTCCGGTTAAAAGAAATACAAAAGGCCGCCCCCAGCAAAGGGACCATAATCTGGAGAACCCCCCCCCCCTCCTTTGGCACGAGGCATGCCGGCTTCGGGTTTTTTCAAGGGGCCCTAAACCGTAAACCCTAAACCCTAAACCCTAAACCCGAAACCCTAAACCCTAAACCGTAAACCCTAAACCCTCCAGAAAGGGCCCAGGGCCGACTGCCTTTGGCTGCCCTTCGGCTGCCCTATACTGTAAACTCCCAAAAAAGTTGGAACATCCTTGTCCCCATACCCCAAAAGGTAGACCAAACGGAATCCCAGCCCTAATCATCCTTAAGCCATGTTCCAACTTTCTGGAGTTTACTGTAGTCCTCCAAGACATACCCAGGAAGGCGCCCTGCAATTACTTGCATGGCCCGTACAAATCTTCTGAAACAAAAACCATACACATCATCCTCTTAAAAAACCAACATATACAACAGCATCCCACTTGGGGCCGATACCCAGCTTCATGTTTACGTGCAGGAGCTTGGGGGTGGAGAGGGTTCCAAGCCCTGAGCCCTAAATATAGCTTCTTACGCTAAAGCCCAACCTGTTCACTATCGGGCTCTTAAGGAAGGCGCAGGGTTCCTCAACACTCCCTACTGCTCCTTAATTCCCTAAGTACCTAGCAACCAATGAACCCCCCCTCCCTCAAGAACCCCATAAGTTCATGTCAAGCTGCCCAGTTCAAGTAGTTGGCCTTCTCCACGTGCACCGCAGCAAACCCCTTCCTGAACAGGCAAAGCAGCTGGTGTTTGGGAGTCTTCCGCCAAAAACATACACACACATACCATTTACATACATATAGATATATACACATATATACACATACAATAGATACATATGGTCTTGATGACGAGACGATGATGCCCATACATGAACTTGCGCACTTGCTATAGCCACGGTCGAGCATGCTGAGGTCTAAAACGCTGATGTGTTACGGGAGGAGCTGCGGAGCAGCGGCACAAAGTTAACAAGCCTGGCACCCAAGCAGCATGAATGCAAGGTAGAGGGTTTAAGATCCCTGCTGCAACGATTCTGTATCTGCCCTGGGTTCTGAGGAACCCCGAAACCATGTCGCCTTCAGATGTGTAGCGTGGGAATGCTGCTTCCCATCCGTCCATGATAACAGTCAGGGGCAATACCCATGTGGGGCTTGGGGATATAGACCCTCTCAATAAGGTCCCTATTTAGGAGAGCCAAAAAAGGGTTCGGGCTCCCCTTTAAGAGTCCCCCCCAATCCTGCCTAGGACAATGTGACCTCTGGGCGACTGCAAACCCAACACCCTAAACCCTAAACCCTAAACCCCAAAGCCTTAACCCTTAACCCTAAACCCTAAACCCTAAACCCTAAAGCAGCAGGTCCGAGTCTCTCTTGCATGTACTTCTTGAAGCCTATGTGCAGCTCGTCCCGGGGGAAGTTGGTTGCACCCTCCCCGCCGACCACGATGTAGGTCAAGCCTGCACTCTGCTAGAGATTGAAACCATAGGCTTGGCAGGCGGTCTGTTTAGGGTTTAGGGTTTAGGGTTTAGGGTTTAGGGTTTAGGGTTTAGGGTTTAGGGTTTAGGGTTTAGGGTTTAGGGTTGCTGGTGGCATCACGCCGGGCCTTGTAAGAGCAAACCACCGACAACCCGACCACACACTGCCTGAATATTGGGTGACCGAACAGTCCTTGATGGGGATTGTAGTAGGGGGCACTGGGAACCCTATTAAGGACTGTCAGTGTAAGGGGGAACATCCCAACCTGAATAGGTCTTCGAAAATGCCTTTCGTGTCCAGTTCCCTAGGGGCTCAGAAAGGTCCAAGGCTCAGAGAGGTCCAAGGCTCGACTGCTCGGATCCGAAAATGTCCCATAACCCGGCGAAACCCTACGCTGCCAGTCCTGGATGACTTTGAGCTGGTGAGGCGCGTGCATCGCAGAGTGTCAAGGTCCGCTTGCTGTGTCGAGTCATGCTTGCCTTTATCTTTGTCAAGGCGCGGATCCGCCCCGGCCGAACTTTGGCGGCGTGAGCGCTGAGCGTTGACAGAGAGATTCTAAGAGCCCCACAGCTTTGAGATGATCAGACGTAACCATCTCCCATGATGTACAATTCGTTGGTAGCTTTGTGCGAAGCCATTCTACCAAGCTGCCCAAGGCGGCAACAAATGCAAGCGGCAGGGCAAGCCGGCTGAGGGAATGTGTTGAAATTTTGACGCTCAAGGTGACGCTCAATGAAGTTCCTTCTTTTGCTTGCAGTGTGTGTTGTTTCGATGGCTTGTTCGGCTGTATCCTTCCAACTCAGACGAGGCACAGAGCGCACAATGTGCGAGACATTATGCTACGTTGCTCATGTCTGTTAATGCTCAGCTAGAAATCGCGGAATGTGATTTCTAGCGGTTAGTCGAAATCTAGCAAGATGCTGGAGTCTGAGCGTTTTCGAACGGACTGACTAATACATGCCTTTGTGCGTGCATGTGTGAAGGCGTGTGCTTGTTGTATGTGTTCGAGGGTGTGACATGTATGTCTGAGGGTGTGTGCAAGCGAACGAAGTGGTGCTTGCGTGGGTGGGCGGGTGATGGGAGGTCAGGCGAATGTCAGAATGTCAACCAATACATTCCGCGCATAGTCCCCCACTAGCCCAGCCCCCTCCCCGACAAAAAAAACTCTTATGGCCAGTTCATAAATTTCCCAGGAGCCCGAGGCCGACCTTGCAGAGTGCTCGCAAAGCCAAGCATTCGATGAGAGTAGTATGGAGGAGTAAATGTAGTGATCCTTCTGTGGGTTCATGTTGTTTCCAGCAGCGGGTTCAGGTGAGCTCCTGTGAGCGAAGTTGCCACTGGCACTATGTTGATCGGAAATGTTCACGAACATGCTACAAGGGATAATGTGTTGGCTGATGCGCAAGCCATGGCCATCCACAAAACAAGGCGAATGGGGGCACAGCTCGCGTGTCGACCGCGCGCTGCACTTGTTCTGATCTAACGAGCAGTCGTTTTTCAATGTAGTATGGGGCAGAGATCCATATGATATCATATCACCTCACACTAGACTTGAAACATCAAGCCCAAACTCCACCTAAACCCCGAAACCCTGTACAAAACTCCTAAACCCTAAACCCCCAAATCCTCCCGAAAACCCCTCAACCCTCAACCCCAAATTCGGCCTTTGGCACCCGGTCTTGGAACCACATGCGCCAGCGCTCCGAGGGGCCCGGTCGGCGGGTTCGCGAAATCCGACGAGAAGCCTTGCAGATTAGGGTTTAGGGTTTAGGGTTTAGGGTTTAGGGAGGGGCGGGATAATTCTCCAAACGAGGTTCCCGTTTTGGGTACAGAACCCTATAGTACGGCACCCATCAAATCTAAGGGTAGTTTCATGGGCCCTTAAAAGGGTACCCCTTGTTTGCCCCTTATATACCACAAATTCAGGGCCCGCACATCAGAACCCTTTAACGGAGGTTCGGGACCATATTAAGGGCCCATGAAACTACCCCTCAGATCAAATGAGGGCCCCAGAAGGGAGCCTAAGTAAGCAGACGACTGAAGGCAACGACAGACTGTGGATCCCGAAGCAATCCAGCTCTGCAAAGCCCTCCAAACTAGTTCATGGTTGGGATAGTATTAAAAAAACACGTGTCTATTCCTTATTGAGTTTAAGTATCCTTAAACATGCAAAATGTTACCCCACCATGACAAAGTTTATGTTCGATTCCCAAAAATCAAACATAACGGCCCGGGGGAACCCTAAACCCTAAACCCTAAACCCTAAACCCTAAAACCCTAAACCCTAAACCCTAAATCGATAAGACCTTGAACCCAGCTCACGGCCTGAAATCGGCGAAATCTGCAGGACCACGTCATACTCACCTCCCAGTTCAGGCCAGAAGCTCTGCTTAGGGTTTAGGGTTTAGGGTTTAGGGTTTAGGGTTTAGGGTTTAGGGTTTAGGGTTTAGGGTTTAGGGTTTAGAGTTAGGGTTTTTTGCATTTGGAGATTTAGGGTGCTGCCGGTCCTCAGCATCTCTCCAATGCCTTTCAAAGGGCTGGGCTTTGGGGTTTGCCATGTCGCGAAGAGATAGGGCGGTGCCATCCTATGCGCCCCGCCATCAAGCGCGGACCACCACCATTCTTAGGGTAGGTTTGGGTTTAAGGCTTAGGGTTCAGGGCGTTAAAAGACAAACATCCCCATCCGCCTCCAAGAAAGGGCTTGTTGATCAACGTGGCCAAGCCAGCACTCAACAACTCGGCGGCATCGGCCATCATCCGGTACCGCATGTGCCTTCACGCTGCAAGGTGCAGGTCTCACGGGTTCGTGCGCACTCCAAGTAAGGCAGAAGACCCGGAGAGGCAGTTATAGGCATTCGAGAGTCTAAGGTTCAGCCCTGCAAGCCCCCAAACCCTAAACCCTAAACCCTACACCCCTAACCCTAAACCCTAACCTAAACCCTAAACCCCCCAAACCCTACACCGAGCCTAGAAGTCGTTGGCCCCACATAGTACTGGATCCTCTCGGTGAGGACATGGTTCTCTGGCAGGGAGTTCAAGACTTGTGCCTCAGCTGCCAGGATTGACCCCCTGGTTCTTAGTAGGGAATGAGGGAATGAGGTACAGTACTGTACATAATTATTTAAATGAATATATAAATAAATAAATAAATGTATATATATATATATATAAATAAATAAATAAATCGCCAGTTGAGGGTCGAGCTGCCTAGAGTTGCCAAGCATCGGCTTCAGCTTGGGTTAGGGTTTCGGAGCTTTGGGGACCTGCGAAACAGAGGACAACCATACACGTCTTAACGCCGAAGGTTCCGGAGCTCACTATCACTTCTTAGGATCTCTTCCATGCTTCATGATGTACGTCAGCTTTAACTTGAGCTGTACAAAAGCCTGTGGCACATCCTGCAAGCCGTCAAACAGCCCCAGGCCCTGAATAAGTATCCCCCTCAACCGTCCCTGACTGAACTTACCGGGCTCTTTAGCTAAGCAAACCCTGGGGCCCCAAATTATCGAACAAATCCACAGCATGGCTCATTTTACAGGGCCTTTTAGGGCCCTTAGCCTTAGAGACCCCCCCCCCCCCGGCATTCGGCCGAGGAGCCCATCTCGTGGCTCGCTCTAAAGGGGAGCCGGTCACAAACACGATGTCCGCCTCCAGGCATTTGGGGCTCTTTACTATCCCAGTTGTCCAGTAACCTGGGGGATTTAAAGGTTAACCTTTGGGATTGCAAGGGGATTAGAATATTGGAGGACGCGAAGCATATGGGGTGTCAGGGTCTTGCAACTGAGCCCGCTGTGGTTTTTGTCCAAGAACGTTTGCGTGGCTTTCCCCTTGTCTTTTTTCAACACGGGACGCCCTTACGTAGAAGTTGCTGCTCTGCTGGCTTCGCATGCTACTGCATAATCTCCACAGACCTAAGATACTTGGACGTACACCACCCTAATTACTCCCAGAATACCCCACATCCACAGCACTAACCCTACACCCTAAACCCGCAACACCCAAAAGCCTGAAGCAACCCCCCCCCCCCAAAAAAAAAAAAAAAAAAAACTTTGCAGGCCTCCAGGGTGGGAGAGGCGTTGAGATGCTGATGGAGCAGCCAAAGTGCGGCTTCGTCATCGATCTCCTGATGTGGGTTCACGGTTTCAGTTTCGGGCGTGGTCTTTAATCTAGGGGTTCTACCTTGGACCCTTAAGGTTGCACCCTTGGGTTATGGGGTCCCTGTTGAAGGATCCCTGAGGGAATTTTTGGGCCATAGTAGGAGTAGATTAAGGGGAACATTTCCGGGCACAACCTTAGGGGTCCGAGCCTGAATCCCTTGATCTGAATGGCTTAGGGCTTTTTGGGGGGTCTACTGTTGAAGGTTCGGGGGTACTTACCAAGAAAGGCAGATCTGTGAAACTCTGTTTGAAACCTACTTGAAGCTATCCGTAGCCTTCAAGCCTCATAGGACGTTTGCGGCTGAGGGCTCAGGATTGCGAATTAACTCGAACCGTGAACCCTATGAACCCTATGAACCCTATGAACCCACCCAAAACAGGGTTCCTCGCCCACGTCGGTGAGGACCAGCATTCTTGGCCCTGATCCGTAGGGCACCACAACGGCGCCCTCGGAGACCGGCACCTCGCGAGGTCTCCGAGCCGGGGTTTAGGGTTTAGGGTTTAGGGTTTAGGGTTTAGGGTTTAGGGTTTAGGGTTTAGGGTTTAGGGTTTAGGGTTTAGGGTTTAGGGTTTAGGGTTTAGGGTTTAGGGTTTAGGGTTTAGGGCGCCGGGGGGCAGCAGGCGGGGGGAAGCACAAGTTCATTCGGGCCCAGGGGCCTTCAGCATCCAAAAACCTATTCTTTCAACGCTACGTAGCCTTGAACCCGAAACCCTAAACCCTAAACCCTGAGCCCTGAGCCCTAAACCCTAAACCCTAAACCCTCTGCAGAAGTCAACAAAACCCTAAACCCTCTGCCCAAGTCAACATGGCCCTCACAAGGAAAAGGCCCGGGGAGAGATAATGTTCTCAGGCTCCGGCTGCACTGACGCTGGCTGCCGTATCTGCACTTTCCTTAGAAGCCGGGTTTAAGGTTTAGGGTTTAGGGTTCAGGGTTTGGGGCTTATAGGGTTTAGGGTCACCTATTCGAGGGGACACCCCCCAATGACGGGGCCTATTCGGCTTTAGGGGTTTAGGGAGTACAAAAGGAAGGTATTGCAGCTAACTTTTTCACTCACTCTCACTCACTGATACGCAGCTCCGAGTCGAGCTGCGCGTATTAAGCTCAGACAGTCTGAACTACCCACTGAAACTCAAGGACTCAACTAGTGCCAACCTCCGAGGAATGTCATGCTTGGATTGTAGACTCACAGGAGGGGCAATAGTGGGTTTTTCTTTCTTTTTTGGGGCGTTTGGGAGAGTTGGACTCAACTTGAAGGTTTGTTGGTACATATGAGTCAGCTCTCTAAATCATGGCCCCCTTTTGGGGATACACCCCAAATACCAGGGGCCGCCTTAGAACAGTAACCCAAAACCCTAAACCCTAAAACCCTAAACCCCAAACCCTAAATTAGAGAAGTGACCATATACGTAGCTTAGGAGTCGCTCAACAGCCGCGGGAGACTCCTAGCCTCAAGCTTGAGGATCCCGAGAACGGATCCCTAAGAGAAGGACTCCAGAGGGTTTAGGGTTTAGGGTTTAGGGTTTAGGGTTTAGGGTTTAGGGTTTAGGGTTTAGGGTTTAGGGTTTAGGGTTTAGGGTTTAGGGGGAGGGGGGGGGGGGGGGGCGGTGGCGCCTCCCAACACTGCTGCTTTAAAAACGCACTTGTCGGAATGAAATTTCGGTCCGTAGGCCCCCTCTGTAAACCCGACTTGAAGATTCACGGGCAGCTATAAACGAATATGAAAGTTACCCTTCACGAAACTTCCCTACTTATAGCCCCAAGACAACACTAACTAACTAACTAACTAACACACACACACACACACACACCCACACACACACACCCACACACCCACACACCCACCCACCCACACACCCACCCACCCACCCACCCACCCACCCACCCACGCACCCACGCACGCACGCACGCACGCACGCACGAAGACCTGGTGCAGCTTGGGTGCAGCAGACGAGTTGCACCATCCAAAGAAGTTATTCCAAGAGAGATCGGATTGGGCGGGGCCTGGGCGTGGAAGAGGCCATAGGCTTCATAATTCATAGCTTTTCAGGAACCAAACACCCCAAACCCTGCAACCCTGAACCCGAAAGCCGAAACCCAAAAGACGAAACCCTTATGCGCTCTAAACCTGCCAAAAGCCCCCAAAGTCTACAACACTGAGTCCTAAAGCCGTAAACCCTCAGGCCCCAAGCCTAAAAGCCTTAAAGCCTCAGTAGCCCCAAATCCAAAAAGCAACATCAAGCCCCCAACCCTGTAGGGTTTTGGGGTTTAGGCTCGAGGTCGGAGACCTTTAAAATCCAGCGATCTCTAGACGGAGTTCTGAGCGAGCCTTCTCTATCAACTGCTTAAGAAGGGACCCAATGATTAGGTTACTAGAAGCCTTGAGGACACAATGGCTAGGTCCCTGGAAGCATAGGGTCACTGTTTGGTATCCTCGCCGACCTAAACCCTAAACCCTAAACCCTAAGCTTGGGGATTTGGAGCTACCCGCAGATTGAGAACCGACTTTGAGTTGCATGGGTAGGCAAGAACTGAATACAGCTTCCGTCACTCTACTCATATGGCGGTTTACGAAAATAAGGGATCCCCCAACATAGACCCCCAAACAGAAGGAACTAGTAGGATCCCCTTTTAATGAGGACCCAATAAGGTACCCCTAATTTCGGAAACCTCCATATGGGGGTTTCCGAAAAAAGAAGTACCCTTGTGGGGGGTCCGTTTTAAGGGGATTCTATACTATTTAGGGGTATAGAAGGGGTACCGCCCCTTATAAGCCTTTGCAACAAGCATACCGTAGACTCTACAAGCGTTAAGCTGGCATTTAGGGCCTCTACACAACGTCCAAATGCAGAAGGCCAAGGAGCTCGACTGCAGCGTCAAGTCAAGGGTCTGCGGGGCAGGGGCAGTCTCCAAGGCTTCTGGGGCTTAAGGTTTAGGCGGTTTATACATATATATATATATATATATATATATACTGCATATATACATATATATATATATATATTGTTTTGTTAAAGTGCCAACGGCTGCACAATCCCCGGAGCCCACACGCAAGTCTGGTTTTTGCCGTCTCTGATGGAGATAGAGGCCAGTTCGGGCCAATGAGAAAAGGCGCAGAAGCCTTTAGAACCAGAAGCCAGGCTATGCAAGCCCTTAAATCCGGCAAACCCCGACAAAAGCAAACCCCTGATCGCCACAAACTGCAAAACCATATGGATCTTAAACTCGTTAACCTACAGGCTTTCCACTGTCGCCTGGGTTAATGCCCCCACACACACACACCCAGAAACTCTCAAACCCTAAACCCTACACCCAAATTCCTGAACCCTAAACCCAAAGCCCTCCCCCTACCACGCTGCCTTGAGCTCTCCCTCCGGCTGGACTTGGCAGGACACGCGCTCAGCCGCCGAAGGATTGAACTCAACGGTGCCTCATTGGGGTGGGGTGAGGCCGGGAGGGCTTTGGAGGTTAAGGATTGTAGGATGTAGGATGTGGGTTTAGGGTTTAGGCATTGTTAGGATTATGTTTGGTTTGCTTACAAGTTCTGGGATCAGACTTAAGTTTCAAAGAGTTTGGAAGCCTAAGCTACGTCGGGGCTTCCCATCGTCTCTTGAAGGTGCGGTTAGCCGAAAAACTACACCTCATAGCCTAACCCCTGAACGGGAGATCCTTTGAAACAAGCTTGCATGGCTTCAAAACGGGGCGTCAAAACAGGGCGGTGGGGGTGGAGGAGGGTTAGGAAGCGTGGTGGTGGTTTCTGTCCTTCTTTCTTTCTTTCTTTTCAGCACGTACCGGCAACTTTGATGATGAATCGGGCAACTCCCTACCACATGGGCATGTTCGCCCACGGCAGCTTTCTCTTGCCAGCACTCATGCACTCTCCCCAGTGTGGTACCTGGCCCCGAAAGGGTTTAGGGTTTAAGGCACCTCACCATCTAGGGGGCTTAAGGCCCGGGGTCACTAAGTTTAGCGGCTGCGCTCGAGACTCTGGCCATATTTAGGATGCCCTAGATCCTATAAACCCTAAAGCCTTAACCCTAAACCCTAGACCCAAAAACCCTAAACCCTAAACCTCCAAAAAAGGAGCGCCGTTTAGATGAAAGCCCTAAAACCTAAAACCCTCAACCCCACACCTCCGAAACGTAGGGTCGTGTAGATGAAAGCCCGAAACCTTGAACCCTAAACCCTAGACCCCAAAACCCTAAAACCCCAAACCCTAAACCGCCAAAGCGGAGTGCTGTTCGACAAACCCTAAACCCTAAACCCTAAACCCTAAACCCTAAACCCTAAACCCCAAACCCTAAACCCTGAGTGCAGTCAGAGAAGCAAGTGCCCACCTTCCGGTAGATGGCCACCTCCAAGATGTGCCAAGGCTCGGCTTGGTTTAGGGTTTAGGGTTTAGGGTTTAGGGTTTAGGGTTTAGGGTTTAGGGTTTAGGGTTTCGGGTTTAGGGTTTAGGGTTTAGGGTTTATAGGGTTTAGGGTTTATAGGGTATAGGGTATAGGGTTTAGAGTTTCGGGTTTGGGGCTTGGGGTTTGGGGTTTTGGACCACACGTATACTAACACACTACCACTACCCTCAACGCTTCCGACCCAAGACCTGCTGCAGCTGTAACCCGCTGCCGCCTCAACACCTACCTGGAGATTCATGGGCAGTTTTTGGTAGGGCCAAAGAAGCTTACCTGGGGTTTAGGGTTTGGGGTTCTTATAACCGCTGCCGATAGGCATCCTTTTGTCAGATGCCTTCGCCGGCTCTCAGAAACCACGAACCTCCACGATCAGAGCCCCAGAAGCCAAGGTTACATGGGCGCCGATTGGAAGTATGGGCCCTTTGGGATTGACAAGCCCTAAACCCTCAACCCTAAACCCTAAACACCCCCCCCCCCCCCCCTTCTCCCCCCCAACGAAAAAAAGCAATCAACCCGCCGAGAGCTAGGCCTGTGCTGTCTCGGATGTACCAGAGACGCTGGGGAAGTCGAAGTGGCTCCGAGGCCCCGACTGACCTGAAGACCTGGGCTTTGGAGTGTACATATATGTATATATGTATATATGTGTGTATATATATATACATATATTGTATATGTTAAATTATTCAGAGTATCTACATAAAGACATATATACAAAAAAACACACGTATGTATATATGTGTATGTATACTACATTTGCTTATTGAGGTTTGGGTTGTAGGGCTTGGGGTTTGGGGGTTTAGGCCTGAGGGTGGAGTACTTTTTTTGTTTTTGGGTGGCGGGTGGGGGGGGGGGGGGGGGGGGGGGGTTCCCATAGTACACGGATTGTACATCTTGGAGCAGAGTCCAGAATCCCTACTGTTTTGTTCGGGAAAAAAGTTGCACACATATTCTCGTTGGTTTGAGTGCAGTGTCGCCTCCCCAATCATGTAGGAATAAGACCATATAGACAAGGAAAGGATGGTGCAGCAATGTAGTGTCTAGCGTAGGATGGAGCAGATCCACAAAGCCAAATTACAGATACCCCTCCGTAGACACATGAGTGTCACGCCATGCATCCATGAACCTTGCGCTATAGCTTGGTACCCCAGTAACCATGTTATAATAAGGGCACCCTTTTTGGTGGGTGAATTTATGAGGGAACCTTGCACCAAAACCAAAGGGGAAAAGGGTACCACTGAGCTACCAAGACAGGGTTCATTGGGGTTTGGGGGTCCAGGCTCCTACTTTGACCTTCGGGATTGGGCGCCGTTTGGGGAACTCTCCTTGGCAACGCGCTAGGAGTAGCAGGCAAGATCGGCTTGCCCCCTACAGCCGTGGGTTTAGAGTTTAGGGTTTAGGGTGTAGGGTTTAGGGTTGTTAAGTCTTTAAGCTGCCGGACGACAAAAAGTCTCACCCAGCGCCCGACACCCGAATGGTTGAAGGCAGGGAGTCTGCAGGAAATCACCTTGAACGCACCATCGCTTTCCTGGAAAGAAGTTCGTGAAACTCAAACCCCGACAGCCCTGATTGAAACCCTGAAGCCCCTAAACCTTAACCCTAAACCCTAAACCCTAAACCCTAAACCCTAAACCCTAAACCCTAAACCCTGAACCTCATGATTCCTTAAGTCGGCAAGAGCCGACTGCAGGCAGGTCGCTGTGTCTGCCCTACCTGGACTGTCGTCAAGTAGCGGCCGCGCAGAGCGCCTGCAGAATCCTCGGGTGTAGGGGGGGTTGCCCCAAAAACCTGCAAGCCTTGGTATAGGGTTTAGGGTTTAGGGTTTAGGGTTCAGGGTTCAGGGTTTAGGGTTTAGGGTTGTCCCAGTCCCTCTCTGCTCTATCGTTGAACATTTGCTGTATTGCGCTGGCGCTGGAAGTCTGGGCATTGCGATACGGGGTTTGCCCACTCTGCAGCACATTCTTGGTCTTTGATCTTCGACATTGTGGGGGGTTGCTCCTTATCGGGTACCTAAACCCTAAACCCTAAACCCTAAACCCTGAACCCTAAACCCTAAACCCTAAACTCTAAACTCCTAAACCCTAAACCCTAATTTAGGAAGCCTTAGAAATAGTCATTCAAGTCTCCTCCAGGGTGAGCCGCACCATCCCGCGCCCACCCGGAGTGCCGCGGCAATCCGACTCACAAGGTATGGCTGCGAGTGGCGGGGGTGGAGCCCTGCCCCCTAAATCCTAAACCCTAAACCCTAAACTGAAAGCCGGACTGCTAGGTAGACACAGGCCTTTCAAGGGCATGGCTTTGCAAAATGTCTCTAGATCAGGTGGAGCTTCGCTGCTTTCGTTGCTGCTGTGAGAATGTCGTTTGGGCTTGGCGTGGCTACGGCCGCAGTCTGCTGCCCCTGCTCAGATGCACTCTTGCTTGCACTTGAGGTTAAGCCATGTCCAGTATGATCTGCATTGGGCCGAAAACTGCGAGAAAGTCTTTGAAACAGACCGGGCACATGACCTGAGTTTTTTTTATGAAGATTCGTGTTCAGTCAGCTGTTTTGACTCATGGCGCGAAGATGGCAGATCCTGAAATCCATACGTGCACGAGCCATGTAGCCTGCATTGACTGCCCAATTCGAACCAAGGTACCCAAGAGACTCCAAAACCCCTTATTTAAGGAATTCACCTTAAAACTATAATCGGAACCCAAATTTTGGGTTCCTATTATATGATTTAAGGTGTATTCCTTGATTAAGGGGTTTTGGAGTCTCTAGGTATCCCGCAAGCACCTTGGAGATCTGATCTTCAGCTCTCCATGGATCCTGGGCTGTTGATCTTGGAACCAGGGTTTAGGGTTTAGTGTTTAGGGTTTAGGGTTTAGGATGAGGTGCTTCAGCCCTCGGCAAACTACCGTATAAATCCCAAGCCATTTACCTCCCACCCCTTGGCCTGTGCAGCCTCTATCTTGGAGGTTTCATGGTACATGCTAGCCAATTCTAACTGTACTTATTGCAGTACTTCTAACCATATTAGGGCACTTAAAGGGGCTTTTTAGCGGGTTCTCAGTACAGTTATGATTGGTTAGTAAGTACCCTGAACCTCCGAGGGTTTTGGGGGTTTGTACCGTATAAGTACAAAGGAACCTTATAAAGGGAATACCATTGGCAATTATTCCGACCCCTACAGTAGGGTACCCTAAACCCTAAACCCTAAACCCTAAACCCTAAACCCTAAACCCTAAACCCTAAACCTGTAGTATGGCGGAGCATCTGAACCAGCTCCGACAGCTGGGAGGGGTTCAGCTCCACCTGCCGACAGATGAGCTTCCTTGCCTCCACCCCTCTCGGGCACGCTGCGCACCCCTACGTACACCTTGCCGTAAACCCTAAACCCTAAACCCTAAGCCCTAAGCCCTAAACCCTAAACCCTACACCCTACGTACACTTTTCCAGGATGGGCTCTTATAGCCCTCGAATCCTACTATAGCCCGTCCTGGCTCCCGAAACCAAGAGGCTCCGATCTTACAGGCTCATATTTGGCTCACGGATACCCCCCCCCCCCTGCCAGCAAAAAACAAAACTTTGACGATAGCCTCCCTACTTACAAACCCGGCCGCAACGACCCGTGTACCTCTAAGTGGGGGCCGGGTACTTTGGAGGAGGAGGCACTTCAAGCCAACATGGTCAATCTGGAGCGTTTTGGGGGCCCCAGACCCGAAACTCTGGCTGCCTGGGGCCTGCAAAGAGGGCTGGCAAAGGTGAAGCTCGGGGTTGCCGGGTCGAGGGTCCACTGGGCTGCCAAGTTGCAAGCTCCTTGTGACCCGAGCTGAAGTCCAACCCAGGTTTCAGGGTTTGGTGCTTAGGGTTTTAGAAGATTTCGGGTTTAGGGCTTAGGGTTTAGGATTACTGAGGGTGGGTTCGATGACGGCTTCAGGCTTCGGTTTGCCGGAGCTTCGAGAGGTTAAAGTTTAGAGTCACTCTAGAGGCTGGGGGTCTCCCCTATATGTTCCAACATCTTCTTGAAGGGCAGCGCAACCGAAGTCACACCAACCAGTAGGTCACCATCGAACTGCCTTGTCCAACCCATCGGCGTGCATGCAACTGCAGCGAACAACAACACGAACAACGCTAGAAATCCCCACAAGGCAAAGAGGCTTCAGCTCATTTAGCCCCGTTTAAGCACACCGCGTTAGAAGCTGAACCGGGTTTGGTCGTTCGGCCTCGCCCTCCACGACGCGGTTGCAAAGAGCACCTCTCTCTGAGTGGGAGGGCTGTGGGAGGGAGGGAAGCTTGGCTGCACTTAGGAGGGTAGCTATAATTTACATTCTTACTAGGAAACCGGAAACCCAATAAACCCAAAAAAGGGCTAAGGATCTAAAGTTACAGTAAAGCACCACAAAGGAAGGGTGCGTGTGGAGGCATGGACTCTTCATGCCATAGCTTCCTGTCTCTTAGAGTTCAGGGTGTAGGGTTTAGGGTTTAGGGCGGAGGGGGGGGGGGGGGGACATCTAGAGCGAAAAATGACAAACACATGCGCTGTCTTGGTGGGCGCTGGGAAGTTCTATTGGAAGAAGGCAACCCGCTGCACATGTGCATGGGCGCGCCGGGGTTCTTTGAGCAAGAGTGTGCCATTTAAGGCCGATGGAATGGCAATTCTCTAGACCATAAAGACGACTCTAACTGGAGTCCCCCGGGATCCCTTAGAAAGTTTAGGCTCCTTGGGTTTTTCAGTTTCTTCACGGCGACTGAAACTGAAAATCACTAGGGGCTGCACCCACGAAAGGCTCGTGGATCACGCCCATGCGCCGGTAACACCTCTGGGGAGAGAACTATCTTCGGCGTGGGCTCGTCGTGGTGCATGTGGGCTTCGTGCAGATGATGGGCCGTGTGTGGTCCCCAAAACTTCAGAAATGTGCTATGATGATAGGTTCTCTGGATCATTCTAGATCACCCCCCATAGAATTCCGCCATCAACTCTGACCCCAGGCAGAGGACTTCATCTTGCCTAGCATCAGAGGGAACACCAGACCAAACCATCATTCAATCCTACTAGCAGACAGTTTCAGCGCTTGCTTGGTGTAGGGTTGGAGGGTTAGGCCCAAAACTCAAAGCAATTTAATGTAGCCCCTGCCGGGCATGGGAGCTGGAAAGACCCAAAGCTCACATCATTGGGGGAAAGGTTGAGGGTTTAGGTATTAGGGTTTAGGGCAGCTACTCGTGGGACAGCTTTGGCAATACTTACCCTCATCAAGGGCACACCAGCATCCCGAACCTCAACTGGACTTTGCATGCAAGCGCCGTATACGCCCCAAAGAACCCCAAGAAGGTGCCCCTAATTTCGGAACCCCCCCCCCCCTCCCCCTACTAAAAGGTTCAGCCCAACCCGGGGCGGGCTGCTGCAATCCTTTCAGGAGCAGGCTTGTAGGATCTTAAGAGCTCTTGTTTAGTGCTTCGTGCTCAAGTGAGAAAGAAGTCTTGAAGGCTAACCCCCCCCCCCCCCCACCCACCACCCCCACTAAAGCCCCTTGATAAGATAAGCACGATGGCAGATCTTCAGTAGTAAAAAGTATGACTGTCGCCCCTTGCCCGCCCGAGATAGCATCAGAGGGCACCTCAGCAGCGGCAGCAGACTCTTCTCCGTCGCCACATCGGTGGGCAGCGCCTGCCAAAGGCGCTTTACTGGGGCCGAGCTACGTAATACGTGAGAGTCTAGAGTCTAGATGTCTGGCCAGAACTACACTCGACATATATATATATATATATAAAGGTGCACCATATACCTATATGTAGAAGTAGATGTGTTTATATAAAGTCTAAACCACAGTTCAATAATCTCGGCTGCTATGCTACTGGTGCTTGGATCACGTGGTGTGGAGGGCGGGCGCTGGTGCTGTCATTGAGAAGTTCAAGCTGCGAGACTGATCCTCCATGCGACCTACCTTAACCTCGCAGCCCGTAACCCAGAACCTGGCCAGAACACAAACACTTGCCGGTTCTTGTAACAGTAAAAAGGTTACCCTAGCAACCCTGAACCCTTTACACCTACACCCTGCAACTACTATGCACTTCAGGACCCCAAAAAGGAAAAGATAACAATCCCCGTACTGCCCTCATAAGGAATGAAGACATTTTTTTTCTCTTTTTTGGGGGGAGAGGGGGGGGGGTTCTTAAGCAAATAGTAGACAACTGCAACTGCATCTTGGCAGTTGCGACCATCTGGCATCGAGTGCTCTGCCAACCCCTTCCCGCGTCTTCAAGCTGAGGCCTGGAAGAGCTGCGTGTAGGTCTCATAGTCCTGGAGCTGCGGTTTAGGGTTTAGGGTTTAGGGTTTAGGGTTTAGGGTTTAGGGTTTAGGGGTTTAGGGTTTAGGGTTTAGGGTTTAGGGTTTAGGGGTTAGGGTTTAGGGTTATTGTTTAGGGTTTAGGGTTGAGGGCTTGGGGTTGAGGGCTTACGGCTTAACTAAAGCATGTCTACGGGCAGTCCGTACTGCACGCACCCTTCATCGACAGAGGTTTAGGGGCAGATCCACTGCCAATGGATAGAGGAAGTGAGTTTAATGAGACTCGGCCGAGTTCTTCATCTTTCTGTCGCAACGACGTGAAAGGAACCTGCATGCTCCAAGGGCTTCGGGAGTAAGGCCGATATGCCTAGCAGCCCTAAAAAAGGGAACCTGAAACCGTTGTTTCTGAAGAAACACAGCACACGCGAAATCCCGCGTTCCGCTCACAAGCACCGGCTCTGAAAGAATGCAGATCCCTCTGCTAAAGAAGTTTTTTCTGAAGCTGCATGCGTCCTTACTTTCGTTCTCTGTGTGTGTGTGTGTGTTTTTATACAAGTGTTGAGGCTCTGCATCGGAAAAGCAAAGGTTTTGCATCGTTCCATGTTCCATGTCCCAGCTGATCGCTCCTAAGCTCTGGAATTCATGTAGGTCTGTGTTATTGATATCAGTTTCCTTCCCTCCGCGTTTCCAACTTTCATACAGCCCCAAGGTCGGGCGTAGTTTTCAAGAATGCCTTCGTTTCTTTCTCTGAGGTGTCGCGAACATCATGAGCATCCACTGGAGCATCATGAGCAACAGCTGGATGTGCCCGCAAAGGGTTGTGGCGAGCGTCATGCACATCAGCCGGATGTGCCCATACGAGAAAACCCCATTCTCTGGATTCTCCATTTCCTCCCCCGTACGTTCGGCACGAAATTCTGCTAAGTTTGGATTTCAATCCATGGATGAGGATCAGAACGGGTAGGCTCTTCTTCGCTAATTAAGTCTTGAAAGGACTTGCCCGCCACTTGTTTGCTGAAAAAGGGCTGCCCAAACATTGAAGAGGAAACCTCTTCCTCTGCCACCTCCACCGAGAACTCGAATTTATTCTATGCCCTCTATTCTACTATGTGCATAAGAACCCCAAAAGAATATATAACAAAAATACATTCCCTACATTGCCCTTCATAAGGAAGAATACTTTTTGCTTTATCGAGTTTGTTCAGCAAATTAGTAGATTTTCGTGAAGTCGCATGCCAAAACCGATACTTCCTATATGCGATCTCCCCATTTCGTCTATGCTGTAACAGGGTACCTTGATTCCTCTATCTGAAGAAGAAAACTTGTCTATGTACCCTGTCTTTTTAAGGTGAACGAAAACCCTAGTTCCTTATGTTCCTCAACACTTTGACTTGAAAGCCTCTATGACTCTGCGTCTGCTATAGTGAACGATAGGCTCCCCCACATCACTGGACGAGCAGACACTTCGACAGACGATGCATAAGACGACGGAAAGCGACAGGCAACAGCAAAAACACGGCACCATCAACACATCATGAAACAAAAAGCGGACCGCCGGGGGCACAAACCGAAAGCAGACCACAAGCTCATCGCCCCCAAACAAAAACAGACAAACAACAAGTAACCATGATTCTATAGAAATCAAACTTCCAGGAAACAAAAACACAACTCTTAAGATGCTTGGGATTCCAAACTCTAGGCCTGGCACAATTCCGTACCCTCCAGTCGTCTGGCTGCATGCTGGGCCTGCCGCGGTCCTGGAAAAGCAGGCTGTGGCGCCGGCGCTTCGTGTAGAGCTCACCAAACGCCTTCGGCAGGGGGGGTGGGGGGGAAGGAGGAGAGAGACGGTTCAGGAAGCGGACAGGGCACGCTTGGGGGCTGACTAGCCGCTTTTCGGGTTTAGGGTTGCTTCTAGGGGCTCCTAGTGCTGCTTAAGAGTTCAGATTTGCGAGCAGCCGCTCAACTTGAAACTCGCTTGCAACTGGCAAGTTGGTGACTGAGCTCTGAAGCAACACTAAGCACCGCTATCAGGGGGGGAGGTTGTTCTAAGTTCGGGTGCTCTTGGGTACTCCATCAAAGCTATAATATTGCAATGAGTATTTCTCCAGTAGAGGGCCACCAAGAGCCCCTACTACTGTAGAACAACCGCCCGTGATGGGGGGGTTGGGGGCTTCTTGTAGAATAACCCTAAACCCTAAACCCTAGAACCTAAACCCTAAATAGGGCTTGGGTTTGAGGTATGTTTAAGCATGGGGGGTTGTGGTTTTAGGGTTGTGGGCTTGGGGGGGAACAGAATCAGGCACCAAAGGCGTGCACGCATGTATTGGTCTCGATGTAGCGCAGTCTCAGTAGTGCATGGGTATTGAAAGATCTGAAGCACCAAGCAAAAGCACCCTTGCTACTTAGCCCCACGCCCTGAACCCTAAGCCCTAAACCCTAAACCCTAGACAGGAATGCTCGGAGTCCTAGCTGAGAGCCCTTGGGCACAGGGGGGGGCCTAGTGATCAACAAGACCTCACCACCTTCGTAGCCCAGGAAACATATTGCAGTAAGGGCACCCTTCTTTTGGTTGGTTAAACTTTATAAGGGAACCCGGAAGCAAAAAAGGCTAAAAGGGTACCACTGGGCTACCAAGCATAATAATGATAATGACAGCAATAACAATAACAATAACGATCGTAATAATAAGAAGAATCATAAGGACCATTAGGGAATGCTATTAGTACACTGCGCCCCGAAACACTGCCACACCCTTGACTGCAACCGTGGCCCTTGCCAAAATCACGCGGAGGATATCCGGTGGATCCATCTGAGGAAGCAGGGTGCCTTGGTGGTTTAGGGTTTAGGGTTTAGGGTTTAGGGTTTAGGGTTTAGGGTTTAGGGTTTAGGGTTTAGGGTTTGCTAAAGATGAGGACCAGTCTTGAAGTACGACTTGTAGGGGCGGCAACTCTCAACCCTCAAACTCATCGAGTCTGCCGTTTGCGTTCGCTCTGTTTTGACCCCAAACCCCAAACCCTAAACCCTAAACCCTAAACCCTAAACCCTAGACCCTAGACCCGAAACCCTAAACCCTAAACCATAAACCCCATGATTTTGCCCAGAAAGCTGTGTAGCGTCCTGCCATTAGACTGAGGATAGGCCTTATAGGATCCAAGGGCTCGGTCGAGTTCTGCGATATCGGACTCTGGAGAACTGGAACCCTAAACCCTAAACCTTAAATCCTAAACCCTAAGCCCTAAACCCTAAATTCTAAACCTTAAATCCTAAACCCAGCTAAGGACTTCTGTTTAAGGGCTACTGAGGATCCGTTTAGGGCATCTTCCTGCATGAAGGGGTACTGGGATCTGCGGGTCAAGCCGAAATGGTTCGGCAACAACTTGAGAATCCTAAACCCGAAGCCCTCGGTTTAGGGTTTAGGGTTTAGGGTCCCTAAACCCTACGATCTCCAAAAGCACCCAAACACCGCATGGTTGACCTCATGGCACTTCGAGATCACTGTGCTGACTATCTATCAGGTTCCCGGGCGCAGGTGCGCGCATGCTGTGTGGAGCCACTCCTTAGGGGGCAAGACAGGAACCTAAAACCCTAATCCCCAAAATTCAGATAACAACTTCGAAACAGACATTTGAAACCTCGCACCAACAGGCGTTGGGAGGTTTAGCAAGGGTTTCGGGTTGTTCAAGATTCGTGCAGGAAATAGCTCGGGCGGGCATATGGGTTGAGCTATAGTCCTCCCTCACGAGCCAGTAGACGATAATTCTGGGGTGGGGTGGCAATTTTGGTTTGGAGTTGCTCACTTGGAACCTGATAATTATGCTTTAAGGTACTAGGCCCGACATGCAGGATCTTGACTAGCGTGACATGTTGTGTCTGGCAAGATGATCCAAGCCATATACTCCGACTTGCCAAACTCCGAAACCCCAAGCCTTAAACCCCTAAACCCTAAACCCCTAAACCCCTTTACCCCGAACCCTCTGAACTTCTGACCCTTACCTCACCCCTCTCCCGACAAAACAACTCAGGGGACGGTCCTTCAGCAGGCCGAAGTCAAGCAATGAGTCTGTTGGTTACAAGTTCGCGCAGCGCGCGCTCCAACCCCTAAACTCCTAAACCCTAAGCCCTACGCCCTAAACCCCATAATCAAAAGGGCCTTGTCAGCTAATCCTAGCATCGCTCAAAGAGAGAACCTAAACCCTGAACCCTAAGCCCTAAGCCCTAAGCCCTAAACCCTAAACCCTAAGCCCGCTGGGTATATCAGTTGGGGACGATTCATAGGTACTCCTAATCACAAAGGTATCTCTAGGGTAGCTCCCGCCCCAAACTCTAAACTCTAAACCCTAAACCCTAAACCCTAAACCCTAAACCCTAAACCCTAAACCCTAAACCCTAAACCCTAAACCCTAAACCCTAAACCCTAAACCCTAACTAACCTCTGAACCCTAAACCCTAAACCCTAAACACTAAACACTAAACCCCAAAACCTGCTTGAGCCGCTTCCCATGGGCGCCCGAGCGTGGTGGAGCCTCTTTCGCTTCCATGGCACTACCTCGCTGAGTGCGTCCGCGACCAGCCTGGAGCTCTCTAGTACTTCAGGGTTGTTAGGGTTTAGGGTTTAGGGTGTAGGGTTTAGGGTTTAGGGCGTAGGGTTTAGGGTTTAGGGTGTAGGGCTTAGGTTTTAGGGTATAGGGTTTAAGGTTCTACCGTTTAGGTCCTTTTTTTACCTACAACGGTTTAGGGTTTAGGGTGTAGGGCTTAGGGTTTAGGGTATAGGGTTTAAGGTTCTACGGTTTAGGTCCTTTTTTTACCTACAACGGACACACCTTTTGAGCACGCCAGCCCGCTGTGAGCTTCGGGGTTTTTGCATTCCGGGCTTTGGGGGGGGGGGGGAACCCTAAACCCCAAACCCCAAACCCCAAACCCCAAACCCTAAACCCTAAAGGGGTCTTGGGGACTTTGGAGTCTATTGTGTCGAGGACTTAGGCTTTGGGCTTCTGAAAGGCTTTGGGCTGCTTGGGTGCGGCCTTGCTGGGGCGAGGTATGGCGAGGTAGTTTAGGGTTTAGGGTTTAGGGTTTAGGGGGGTATATCTAATCGTAGGGGGAGTACGGTAGGGGGGCGGGGCGGCATAATTGAGGTCCCTAAACCCCAAACCCTGAACCGAAGGGGCTGTGCCCAGCTGGAAATAGCTGAAAAAACTGTAATGTGGTTTTTGTATTCCTTTTTTTTGGGGGGGGGGGCTGACTATATGCACTGCGTCCATCTGCATCGTACCTTTCGCAGGAAGTTGCCGTGCCTTGCATATTTCCCAGCATAAGCATTTGGGGATATCTTAGGGTTTGGGGTTTGGGGTTTAGGCAAAGGCTTGTTTGCAGCTTCTTGGTTTCAGCGACTCAGAATCCATACAGAACAAATACCATGTAAGGGACCCCTTTAATCGCTGGGGCTCCAGGTATATACATAATACCTAGATTGGGGTCTAAAGTCTGTAAATGATACCTTACTTTGGGCTATATAGTGGACCTCAAATAGTGAGACTTCCTTGTAATATGGACGCGCTTCTGTGCCGCCGGCTTTGGATCGTCACACGTAAGGATGTCGAAGGCGGGCTCCACCTGTGAGCATTTAGGTGGGGATTAGGGGAATGCCCAGGGTTTTGAGAAACACCCTAAACCCTAAACCCTAAACTCTAAACCCTAAACCCTAAACCCTAAACCTAAACCCTAAACTGCGCCCTCCCTCAGCCCCTGCACTGTGAGGCAAGCATCTCAAGTAGGGGGAGCTGCGCGAGCAACATGCCCTCGAAATTAAACCGAACTCGGAAACCCAGCAAGAATCATCATTTTTGCTGCTTCTTAGGGGTTATAGTACCCAAAAAATGAACACAAAAAATCCGAGTACCCCGAAGTAAACACACCCACGAGCCATGGTTCTGGAGAGGGCTTCTCACCTCAAGGCTCGACTGTGGACGGTAAACTTGGGTTGGGGTTTAGGGTTTAGGGTTTAGGGTTTAGGGTTCAGGGTTTAGGGTTTAGGGTTTAGGGTATAGGGTATAGGGTATAGGGTATAGGGTTTAGGGTTCAGGGTTCAGGGTTCAGGGTTCAGGTCAGGGTTCAGGGTTTTGGGTTTAGGGTTGAGCGCTATGGAGCAGCTAAGCTAGGCCTGGAAAAAACCCTTCTTGGCAGAGACACCTCGCCTCTGGCAGCTTCCAGTGCTTGATGCGTTGGAGGCCAGCTTTCGGCCAGCGCCTCGTCTGGCAGAACCATGTTGGGTTTTGTGCATTCAAGATTGACAGGCTTTAAAGACCTAGATACCCTACTAAGAACCCCGAATACATGCCCTAAGAAGCAGAAACCCTACTTCAAGAGAGGGTTTTAGGGTTTAGGTTTAGGGCTTAGGGAGATGTGAGACTGCTATGCACACGCAGCACGGTCAGGGAAAGCTCAGCATGCTTGAAGCTATGCCAGCTCTACGTGGCAACCGCTCCTTTTAGGGTTTAGGGTTTAGGGTCTGCAGAAGCCTACTACAGCAAACTTCTTGGAACGTGTGCGAAATCGTGTTGGACCTGCGGTTGTTCAAGCCTAGAATACCTGACAGGAACACTCCCTATCGAGGTCCGGATGTTCATTCCTCGATTTTGGGTCGCTGGCCTAGCACTTCTTGAGGAGAGAATTGTGAGCTTGATGTAACTTCCTGGTTCTTTGTCTCTGCTGTATGTCATATCAGCGCAGCAGTCTGCGAACAAGGACGAAATGCTGGCGGCCCGCAGACACAAGCTCCGAAGCCCACTGTGCCCCTGCTCTTTCACACTCCAGGGCTTAGGATTTAGGGCTTAAACCCTAAACCCTAAACCCTACACCCTATAGGCCTTATAGGGTTTGAGGGGGGTTCGTGTCTGCCGGCCGCCAGGGCATGTCCACACCCACGTGGTTCCTGCCCCTCCTGAAATTAAATCGCGCCGGCAGGCCATGACTTACCTTGAGATGGCTGTGTTTGCAGGGTTCAGGGTTCAGGGTTTAGGGTTCCATGCCCTATCAACCAATGATATGTGCTCGTAAAGCCCAGGTCTCGCACACAGCCAACCACCGCTCATTCCCACGGGCAGATCCTGCGTGCTAATTCGTCAAAGCAATATGCGAAAGACCTGAGAACCCACATGATTCTTCATGCTGGACGGATGCACATTCGGGGTCTGACGACTGCAGAATCTTTGAGCAGCGCCCGCAGGTAGTATGACAGGGCCGTGGCACGGCTTGGTGTTTCTGCGCACCTGAGAGCAGTCAACACTGACCACTGCAGTTGCATGAAGTCAACAGGCCTGAAAAAAGTATGTGCTATAGCGAAAATGCACTTGTCACCGGGAGGGTGCTCCGCTACAAGATTACAAGTTCAGAGCAGCTGTCTGCTCGTGCCGATAGGCAGCTGGCCGAAGCTCCCTTTCGCCGACTGTCAAGCCAGGAATAAACGGCCAACTAAGAGAACCCTAAACCCTAAACCCTAAACCCTAAACTCGAATTGTGGTGTAATGATCGGGAGCTTCAGGTGAAACGTGCCACGAATGACTTATGAGAGGTGGCACCTGCGCAGCTCTGCTCGCGATCCCTGAGCTGTGCCCAGACGTGCTTCTTGAGTGATTAGCACCTTGGGTTTGGGGTTTAGGGTTTAGGGGTTTGGGGGTTTAGGGGTTTAGGGGTTTAGGGTGGTACCGCTGACGGCCAGCATGCGGGCGAGCAGCAGTGGGAGGCTGTCCCTTGAAGAACGGCAACTGCTGCAAGGGATGCTGACTAGCAGCGACTCCAAGTGAAGCAAGCTCAACTGGTGGCTACTGGAATCGCCTCCACGCTTCGTCTGGCTCTAGCTCACAACGCGCACATCCCAGAAGTTCACTGAGTGGCCTCTCGTTGTGCGTCGGTGCTAGAACTTCTCCCAGGGGTGACACGAATGCTAACTTTTTTGAGAGGAGCGGGCGGAGGCCGGGCACCATCAACCTCCTGGCATCCTGCCAGCTTGTGTTTCGACGCATGGAAACTTTCGAAATCTCTTCGCCTGTGAGCTTCCACATTGCTAGCCGAAGAACATCGCCTTCAACTTCCCCCGTCAGCTGGACCAACGTGGTGTTCCACACCTGCAGCATGAATTGCCAGGTGCGCTGTCTCCCTGTCGTGGGACTGTACCAAATGATTCGACCTGGAACGGATTGGTCAATGTAAAGATCATAGGTGGTCTCCTTCCCAAGCGTGTCTTTGTGCATCATGGGAACCATTTGTATACTTCCGTTGCTTACTCTTCGGATCTCAAAGTCCCGTCGGTCATCCTTTGCAGGATTGTTCACGATGGTCAAGAGCTTTATATACGGATTGTCTGAGTCAGGGTTCGTGACTATGTAGATGTTGCTGCTCTCCAAGTCCTTCCACCTGCCGTGCAGGAAGCACCCGCCGTGAAGAAAACTCATCGCACCAGCCACCAGTCAGCCAAGACACACCCAGAAAAAGACAAATCAAAATGATGGTACGATGGCTCGAACCAGAGACTGCAGCAGATGGTGGGCACGCTGTCTTAGTCGGGAGCCCCTTTGACACAGCAACCCTCACCCAAAACCCCGAAGCACCCTCCGCAAAGCTTAGAAACCCTGTGGTCCGGGAACCACCACACTGCTGCCAGCTCAGGGTGCAGGCTAAACCCTCTCAACCCTAAACCCTAAACCCTAAGCCCCAAACCCAAAACCGTAAGCCCTAAACTCTAAACCCTAAACCCTAAACCCTCCAAACCCTAAACCCGTAAACTCTCAACTCTCAAACCGCAGCCTCCATGGCGGAAACCGCGACAGGTCGACTTTAGGTCTCTGGCCTCGCGCTGCTACGGGGAAGCTCTTGGTAGAGAACCGCGAGGTTTAGGGTTTAGGGTTAGAGTTTAGGGTTTAGGGTTTAGGGTTTAGGGTTTAGCGTTTAGGATTTGCAACCCTAGGATTCTTCAGATTCCTCTAGTGAGGTTTTCGGACTCTTGGGTACCAAACTCCCGACATGCAGGCCAGGAACTGGTTGAGTTTACGCTTGCAGGTTGGGGGTTGGACCCTAAACCCTAAACCCTAAACCCCAAACCCCAAACCCTAAGCCCTAAACCGCAAGGGTTGGAAACCCTAAAGCGATGTAGATCTTGGGAACCTACGCTTAGCAGGCTGAGCCCTCGCATTCTAGGTGGTTTTAGGGTTAAGGTTGACGGCTTCATTGCAAAAGCTTAAAGTTTAGGAATGAGTGTCTGGACTTTAGGTTTCAGATGTTGGGTTGAGTTGCGGTTTGGTCTGAGGCAGTGTAGGGGTGCAGGGCAGATGTTGTCATCATGGCCCAACGAGGAACACTTCCCTCTTGAGGCACGCAGACGTACCATAGATCGAAGGGTCAAGAGGGCACTGCCGTTTTGGGGGGTTTAGGGTTTAGGGTTTAGGGTTTAGGGTTTAGGGTTTAGGGTTTAGGGTTTAGGGGGTGTTCAAAGAAACTCGGCTCAGCTGAAGAGCGTGGTGATGCTTGTCAGGTGGCAGTACGCAGCTTTCATGCGCATGGCATGCGTGTCACGGCATCAGAACTACTGAAAGATGGAACCCTACACTTGCAGCTGTGTCAATGCAGCTGCTATCACCTGTACCCGGCAGCCTCAGCTACAGGCGAAATGGTCGCATTCAGTGTGCAGGGTGGCATGTAGGGAAAGTTGACGGTCAAGCCCCCCGAAACAACTTACAGCATGAGGAAGGCCTCGTTGAAGGGCTTGTGACAGTCGGAGGCCTGGACGTCTGCCGTAATTCCAAGTGAGAAAGCTAAACAAAAACAAATGCCTTGGCCACCGTTGCATCTTAAATTGGTCTTGGGAACAACCCTCGTACTTGCTGCGTGCGTTGGATTCGATGTAGTGGTTGCGTTCTCTCTTCATCCACGTATCATTGAGACATGGCTGTGTGCAGCGACGCACGCCCGCTTAGTTTGCTTGGGGGTGCTCAGACAGTCTACGAGTCTGCAATGTCTCCAGGCCTCGTGCCGTGTGGCTTCTCACGCAGAGAAACATGGCTCAAGGCTGTATGGGATGCATCCTGCTCAGAGATGAGGGGTGCTACAGAGTAGGCTTCGAAGTTAGACTTTAAGAAATTAACCCAGGAATGCAAGGGTGCCCTTTTCGGTTTAAGGGGCTTTAAGGGATCCGAGATCGCAAAAAAGGGAATAAGGGCCTACTCTGGGTCCAAGCTAGGGCGGTTATGAGTGTCAACTTCTGGGCCAGAGCCAACGAGTCAAACGATGCACGGGTCAGTTGTCGAAAACGAATTTAGGAGCTCAAGCCATGTGCCAACAATGTGCCCTTATCGTCCCAAGATTGTAGCAACAACCATGTTGCAATAACTACCACAATGCCTACCACGAACGGCCTAACCAAAGGGGTCTCTCTATGGTCTGAGCTCAAAGTGCACGGGAAGCCACGCGCTACAGTGAACTAAACAAGCTATTTGTTCTTTGCCACATGCAGAACAAAAGCTCAAAGCCTTGTGTTCTCTTTTGTCCTCGGAGGGGTGGCCAAACTGGCCAGCATGGATGCAAATCATAAGCCATGTTCAACAAGCAGTAGCAACCAATGCCTGTCTCAGGCAAGCAGGTGGCAATCGACGACCTCCTACTGCTGTCTGCTGTTGACAACGGTCCTTTGGCAATTGCGCCATGTCTTGAAAATACACAACCATGGGCCCAGTAGACCTAATGGAGGCTTATACCTTTTGGGGTACCGAGTTTCATGCTGGAGTCCTAACCCGAAAGGAAGATACCTTAACATGTTCCCCCGCATACCAACAGTCCTTAGTATACCCCCACAAACAAAAAAGCAAGAAGGACAGAAGCCTCTCGGTCCTCGCGCCTCGAGGGGTTACGATATGGGTGCTCATGAGGTCACCCACTGCCAGCTGCCCAGATTCATGCAAACCCTAAACCCTAAACCCTAAACCCTAAACCCTAAACCCTAAACCCTAAACCCTAAACCCTAAACCCTAAATCTCGTGGATCCTGAGGCTTGGCCGTGCAATGCCGGTCATCCTGGCTCCCTTTGAGTTCAGCTCGACGCGCTCAAAGAGCCTTCCAAGCCCTTTGCACTCAAATCTTAGGCGCAAGGTTTAGGTTTAGGGTTTAGGGTTTAGGGTTTAGGGGTTTAGGGGTTTAGGAGTTTAGGGTTAGGGTTTAGGGTTTAGGGTTTGGGGTTTAGGGTGTAGGGTTTAGGGTTCAGGGTTTCGATGTTAGGG